TCTGCCCCTAGTTGGTTCCTCCAGCACTTGCACCAGGAAATTGTGCCCTACACTTTCCAAAAACTTCTTGGATTGTCTGTGCACCGCTGTATTGCTCTCCCAGCAGATATCAGGGTGATTAAAGTCTCCCATGAGAACCAGGGCCTGCGATCTAGCAATTTCTGCTAGTTGCCAGAAGAAAGCCTCATCCACCTCATCCCCCTGGTCTGGTGGTCTATAGCAGACTCCAACCACGACATCACCCTTGTTGCTCACACTTAATCCAGAGACTCAGGTTTTTCTGCAGTTTCATACCGGAACTCTGAGCAGTTATAGTCCTCTCTTAAATATAATGCAACTCCCCCCCTTTTCTGCCCTGCCTGTCCTTCCTGAACAGTTTATATCCATCCATGACAGTACTCCAGTCATGTGAGTTATCCCACCAAGTCTCTGTTATTCCAATCACATCATAGTTCCCTGTCTGTGCCAGGACTTCCAGTTCTCCCTGCTTGTTTCCCAGGCTTCTTGCATTTGTGTATAGGCACTTAAGATAACTCATCGATTGTTCCTCTTTCTCAGTCTGAGCCAGGAGTCCTCCCCTCTTGCACTCTCCTGCTTGTGCTTCCTCCCAGTATCCCATTTCCCCACTTACCTCAGGGCTTTGGTCTCCTTCCCCCGGTGAACCTAGTTTAAAGCCCTCCTCACTAGGTTAGCCAGCCTGCTGGCGAAGATGCTCTTCCCTCTCTTTGTTAGGTGGAGCCCTTCTCTGCCTAGCACTCCTCCTTCTTGGAACACCATCCCATGGTCGAAGAATCCAAAGCCTTCTCTCCAACACCACCTGCGTAGCCATTCCTGGACTTCCACGATTCGACAGTCTCTACCCAGGCCTTTTCCTTGCACAGGGAGGATGGACGAGAACACCACTTGCGCCTCGAACTCCTTTATCCTTCTTCCCAGAACCACGTAGTCTGCAGTGATCCGCTCAAGGTCATTTTTGGCAGTATCATTGGTGCCCACGTGGAGAAGCAGGAAGGGGTAGCGATCCGAGGGCTTGATGAGTCGCAGCAGTCTCTCCGTCACATCGTGTATCCTAGCTCCTGGCAAGCAGCAGACCTCTCAGTTTTCCCAGTCGGGGCGGCAGATAGATGACTCAGTCCCCCTGAGGAGGGAGTCCCCGACCACCACCACCCTCCTCTTCCTCTTGGTAGTGGTGGTCGTGGAACCCCCATCCCTAGGACAGTGCATCTTTTGCCTTCCAATCCGTGGAGTATCCTTCTGCTCCCTCCCCTCAGATGGGTCATCTAGTCCACTCTCCGCATTAGTACCTGTAGAGAGAACATGGAAACGATTGCTCACCTGTATCTCCATTGGTGCATGGATGCTCTTCTTTCTCCTTCTGGAGGTCACATGCTGCCAAACCTCTTCACAATCCTTCTGTCCCTGCTGTGCCTGCTCTGAATCTTCAGAGCATTGTGGCCGTAGAAACATCTCCTGACGTCTTTCCAGGAAATCTTCATTTTCCCTTATGCAACGCAGAGTCGATACTCGTTTCTCCAGCCCTCGAACCTTCTCTTCCAATATGGAGACCAGCTTGCACTTTGTACAGACAAAGTCGCTTCTGTCCTGTGGCAGAAAGACAAACATGGCACAACCTGTGCAGGTTACAACAACTGATCGCTCACCTTCCATATCACTGTCTTCTTAAGGGCTTCCTCAACTGTTGCAGGAACTACTCAGAGGAACCTGCAGATGAAAGCCTCAGTGAGCTCTCCCCAAGCGAACTCCCAGGCAAACTCCCTCTGTTAGCCTCTGCTGTTCGTCGCTCAGCTGGTTCGCTGCTGACTGCCCTTATATACCAGTCAGGCCCACTCAAGGCCCACCTGGAACAAAGCACTCCCAATTCACACTTTTCAAACAAGCAAGTAGTGTACAGATGTGGTCTCCTCATCTCAAAAAAGATATACTGGCATTAGAAAAGGTTCAGAGAAGGGTAACTAAAATGATTAGGGGTTTGGAAAGGGTCCCATATGAGGAGACATTAAAGAGGCGAGGACTTTTCAGCTTGGAAAAGAGGAGACTAAGGGGGGATACGATAGAGGTCTATAAAATCATGTGTGGTGTGGAAAAAGTGAATAAGGAAAAGTTATTTACTTGTTCACATAATACACAGCGCACAGTCAACCTGTTGAACTCCTTGCCTGATGAGGTTTTGAATGCTAGGACTATAACAGGGTTTAAAAGAGAAGTAGATAAATTCATGGAGGTTAAGTCCATTAATTGCTATTAGCCAGGATGGGTAAGGAATGGTGTCCCTAGCCTCCGTTTGTCTGAGGGTGGAGATGGGTGGCAGGAGAGAGATCACTTGATCATTACCTGTTCGGTTCACTCCTTCTAGTGCACCTGGCATTGGCCACTGTCAGGAGACAGGATACTGGGCTGGATAGACGTTTGGTCTGACGAATAGGGCCATTCTTATGGTCTTATGTTTTTTTTTCCCCCCAGATCATCCGGGAGACAACAAACGTAAGTTTTCTCCAATGGCTGCAGTTTGAAGGTGGAAGGGCCTGACATTTCCCCAGAAGGACGTGTGGTAGGCACGGTCCCTTCAACTGAGTGGGGGAATCAGGACCTTTGAGTTTTTGCTGCGAGGGGGAGGAAGGTACAATTTTGCTGTTGGGACTCGAGACAATATCCCTTTCCCAGGGATGTTTCCTTGGTATCCAGAGAGTTCTTACCTCACAAAGCAGAGAGTAAAGCAGACAGAAATTTCCACAGAGCCGAAGACTGATGGGAAATGAGGTCTCACGCTCATGAGTCTTGGGCTTTGTATACGAGGATGCTCTTTTTCAGATCAGTTTCCTGGCCTCCCTCGTCTCTGGCAGCCTCATGTTCTTGATTTCTACAACCAAAAGTTCCTTTTCTGTGCCCCTCTCTGCTTCTTCACCATATACCACTCACAGTGGTTGTCCTTGGTCAGTGAGGACCCAGGTTTCAGAGATGCATCTGTGTGAGTTCACAGGCTGCCCCACCTGTCACTGTTCTTCCCTACTAGCCTCCCTGCCCGCCACTGTTCCTCCCCTGCTGACCTCCCTACCAGCTGCTGTTCCTCCCCCTTTGTAACTCTTCATAATCTGCTTTGGACTTAACTATTTTGACCAATTTAGTATCATCTGCAAAGTTTACCACTTCACTGTACCCTTTTTACCAAGTTTACCGCTTTTTACAGATCCCCTGGTCCCAGTACAGATCCTTGGGGGAAACATGTCTTTCTACTACCTAGGGGGAAGGGCATGGGACTAGCCCACAGATTGACGAGTTTATGAATAGTCTATGCCCTTCATTAACTATGGCTGAAATTTATGCTACTCAGAAAGGAGAGAGAAATGATCTCATTCACCCTCTTCAATTTTTAACTGCATGGACATATGCTGAACTGTTTTCTTTTTGTCCCTACTTTTCTTTTGCAGAGAAACTCCAGGAGGAAACAGGTGAGTTTGCCTATTTTACTGAATACCTACAGTCCACAGACCCAACTTTGCGTGCCCTTTATGGGTTCTAACAGCCCTGACTGCAGCAGGGATTCTCACATTGCATGGTTCTTGGGACTGGGAAGAGGAAGGTTCATATAGGGGACTCTGGAATCATAGGTTCTGCAATCATAGACTCTCTCATAGAGCTGAGACTTTAGCAGCACTTTTCAAAGAAGGTCCGAACAGGAGAGTTTGAAGGAGTCAGGAATGAGCAAAAACATGTATAAGCTCCAGGAACTGAACATACCTCCTGTAGGACAAAACTCTGAATATGGAGTGCAGCAGGACAGAGTTGCTAAAGCTGGGCCTGAGCTGTAGCTGAGGCCATGCTGACACCCCACCTGCTGCCTCAGGGATGGGAGGAGAAATGTCTTCCCCAGAAAGATTCCTCCGATCTGGTAACCCACATCCTGTGCAGAACACAGAGGAGGCTCTTTGACAATCCCCCTGTAAAGGAAGTGGTGATAGTCATACAGGAATGTTTGCCCCAGAGAAGGACATAAAACCCAGATAATCTGTTCTCTGGCCCAGTGTATTCAGTTCCAGATGAAGGGATTTTCAGAAACTTTCCATGGGAACATGTGTATTTTGATTTAAAAAAATATTTATAGGGTTGTTGTTAAGTGCTGAAGGGTGTAATGTTGCCTCAGTAACACTGTTCAGGCTGCTCAGTGCTTCTGTCCATGGAGCTCTAGTGTTAGGAGCACTAACAGATGCCTGCTAATTCAGCATACCTCAGTGTTAACCATAAAGAAAGATCACAGGCATCATTCAGTGACAAAGGCACTCGGCCAGGTTTATTGCCCTGAAGGCACAGTCTTAGTACCCTGTCTCCATGGTTACAGGTTCTCTAACACATGAGTGTCCAGTGGCAAGGAGCAGCTCAGTCAACAGCAGGAATTTCTGCTGTTCCCCGGGCTACACAAAGGGTTAAGGCGAGGTACCCTGACACTAATAGACTGGGACAAACAATTGGGACAAACAATTTACATGTTTTGTGACATCTGATTTGTATCTCCCCTTCTTCCTGGTATCTTGAACAAAACATCCCCATTCATTGTTGTCTGAAACCACCTTATCTTATATTAAATTGGGATGTGTTTGTAGTAGGTGGAATGTATTTACATACATATTTTGTGCCTAGCACACGAGCAACAACTTTGACAAGTTCATGTACTGGACAGTGAACTTGTAAATATCTGCTTTAATACATGGCCTGACTTGGTTCACAGTCTCTGTTTCAGGCCTCAGGTCTTGTACCAAGCCCCAGGCTCCAGGCTCTCTCTCTCTACTACAGGGGGGAGGAAGGAGTAGAGGAGGGAGAAAAAGAAAGAAACATTATGTTTCAGTGAAGTCAAAACTTTTTGTTTCCATCTTGTTAAAATGGAACATTTTGATTTTTTCATTTTGAAATGACTGTTTATTTATTTTTTGAGACAATGACCCTCACTGACACCTATGCTCCACTGGAGCCTGGACATTGTGAGCCAATAGGGAGATGCTTGTGAGATAGAACGTTAAACTGCATGGAAGCTGGATTCAGACTACAGAACTCAATCCTGCACAAATCCAGAATGGTCCAAACCTCTCAGGTTTCCCAGCTACATTCAAAACCCACCTCTTTGATTCTACTTTTCCCAATTGCTCCCGACCCCTGCATACTTAGTGCGATGTACATGATAATGTCATGAAACTTTTATCAGAAAAAATAAAGTACAATTTTTTCTTGGTTTGAAAAATAAGCCTTTTGAAATCATTGTAACATTTCATGTTCAGAAGCAAATGAGTAAGTTTGCACTGACTTTATGTCCTTTACACTCAGATACATGAGAAAAATGTAACCCCTTCATATAACATGTGCCCCTTCATATAACATGTGCTGACCCTGTGCCTCTTTCACAGAACAAATACATGAAGAAATTGTTAAGGTTCCATTTAAGTACACAATCACGTGGGGGCAGAGTGGTGGTGTCAGAAAAAATGAGCATCACTTATTCCAAGACATGAGCCTTCCTTCATTAAATTCAGTGTCGTTTTCCATTGGCTACACTGGGAACCGTACTGGGCCACTAATTTGAAAGCAATAAAGTACATATATTGAAAAGTGTTCCTTTTGTTTTTCTTTTGCAGCCCAACTCAAGGAGGAAAAGGGTAAGTTGGCTTCTGCAGTTTGCAAGGGGAAGGGTCAGTGATTTCCCCATTCAGAGAAGTGGAGGTCAGGACCTTTCTCCTTTTGCCGTGAGTGGGAGGTGAGTGAGTTTTGCAATTGTGAGTGAGGAGAATCTGGGTATTTTTTACTGGCAGGTTGTATATCTGGCTGGTCAGGGCTCCGGTGTCAGACTGGGGCTGATCAGAGGAAAAAAATGTACATTCACCCAATGTTAAGCAACAACAAAGATGAGTGCCTCGTATTAAATGAGGATATTGATATAATAGGCATCATAGAAACTTGGTGGAATGAGGATAATCAATGGGACATAGTAATACAAGGGTACAAAATATATCGGAAGGACAGAACAGGTCGTGCTGGTGGGGGACTGGCACTATATGTGAAAGAAAGCATAGAATCAAATGAAGTAAAAATCTTAAATGAACAAACTGTACCATAGAATCTCTATGGATAGTAATTCCACACTTTAATAATAAGAATATAGAAGTAGGGATATATTATCAACCATCTGACCAGCATGGTGATAGTGACTGTGAAATGCTCAGGGAGATTAGAGAGGCTATTAAAATAAAAAAACTCAATAATAATGCGGGGTTTCAACTATCCCCATATTGACTGTGTACATATCACCTAAGGATAGGATGCAGAGATAAAGTTTCTTGACACCTTAAATGACTGCTTCTTGGAGCAGCTAGTCCTGGAACCCACAAGAGGAGAGGCAATTGTTGATGGAGTCCGAAGTGGAGCATAGGATCAGGTCCAATAGGTGAATATAGCTGGACTGCTTGGTAATAATGACCATAATATGATTAAATTTAACATCACTGTGATGGGAAAACACCACAGGGGCCCCACACTGTAGCATTTAATTTCAGAAAGGGGAACTACACAAAAATGAGGAAGTTAGTTAAAAATTAAAGGTTATAGTCCAAAAGTAAAATCCCTGCAAGCTGCATGGAAACTTTTTAAAGACATCATAATAGAGGCTTAACTTTAATGTATACCCCAAATTAAAAAAACATAATAAGAGAACCAAAAAACACCCACCATGGCTAAACAACAAAGTAAAAGAAGCAGTGAGAGACAAAAAGGCATCCTTTAAAAAATTGAAGTTCTGTGTTCACCCACACCTTGCAATAAACCTCTCTGCAAAGCAACAGCCTTCTCTTCCTTCCCCCAGTTTCTCTGACTTTATCCATCACACAGGGTATTTCTGCCTCCGCTCATGCTGCTCACCAACGGTTCTACTTATCAGCGCTGAGGGAGGACATGTGAGAGTTTGCAGCAACCACAGCCCAGGGAGGGAGGGGTGGCACTCTACTGTATAAAAATGTTGCCAGACACGTTTTCTCCCAGCAGTAATTTTAAACCTGGTCTTTGGGCTGGCCTGGACTCTGGCTTTCTGGCCAATAGGAAAACCAGCTTCCTAGAGATGTTTGTCCATAATGCTTCTAGGCTCTTGCTCATGAGGAGGTTTGGAAAAATTAGATTTTTTTTCTCAAATCGGTAAATGTCAGTAATCGTAGATTTCATCACACATGCACAAACTGACTAACCCCACCCCACTGCTGATAACTGAAACTGACAGGCAACGTAGCTTGATAACTTCTCAGAGTTTGATGTAAGGCTCTTGACATTTTGTATACTTTGACAGGTGATGCCAACGGGTGTTTTAACAGTTTATGAAGCTTTCACTTGTTGAATGTCAGCACCGACTGTTAAATAAATATTGTCTGACCCACCCACAATTTCCTGCAACTGTGAAGATAAAAATGGTTTTAAGAATTTTTCCCCTATCATTTTGCACAACCATGAAAACTTATTGTAAGCTTTTTTTAAATCAATTTATCTGTTGAAATTATAAAATAATACAAATTGAGTTGTACCACTCACCTTGTGATATTTGCCAGTTAACAGAATCAAGCCTTGAGCTAAATACTTGGGGGGGGCACACACTGAACCCCCAACCTCTTTGTAACCAACAGAGCTGGTGGGCTAGAGGAAGGTCTCTGCGCCAAGAAGTGTAGGGAGCATCTAGCCACTGCAGCGGGGAGACTCGTGTTAGCTCAAGCTGATCAAGCATTAAGAACAGTTCTGTGGATGGTGTAGTTCTGCCTAGCCACCTGAGCTTGGATCCCAGTGGGCAAACAGGGGCGCTAGCCCGAACTGCTGCCCATGCCAAATGTCTGCAGCTGTTAGCTCAAGCTAAGCGAGCATGAGTCCGTCTGCTCGGCCTGGGAATCATGCAGTGTAGATGTACCTTTAGAGTTCAGCCAGAGAGGCTGATCCAAGCCTGAGGTGGAGCAGAACCAAGGTCATTGCTGGAAGGCTTCACAGAAACAGCTTGGGCAGGAAGGAGTGGAAGAGGGGGAGCTGCAAACAAGGGAGGCAGCACCGAGGCCGAGGGGCTGTTTGTGAAAGACGGGGCGAAGATGAGAATTATGCACTGGAATAGCAATGTGTATTGATGAGGAGGCAGACTGTACAGAAATGAGAAGTAATGGAATGGATAAGACAGAGTCTGGGCCAAAATCAGTTGGAGGAAGAAAGCTACCAGAGGGGGTTCCCCTGGGCTAGTGACTGGCATGTGCTAAAGCCCCCAGGATTTGATCTGTATATGGAGAGGGAGAGAAACCTTTGTAATGCTTTTAACTACATAAAATACTGCTCAGAATTGTGTGATTGTGGGAGACTTTAACTTCCCAGATACAGAGTGGAGGACAAGTGATACTAATAATAGAAGGGCCCAGATTTTCCTGGATGCCACAGCTTTCTTTACCAAATAGGCGCTGAACCAACAAGAGGTGGAGTCATTTAGATTTGGCTTTGGTGAGCAGTGAGGACCTCAGAGAAGAGCTGGTTGTAGGGGACAACCTTGGCTCGAGTGATCATGAGCTAATTCTGTTTAAATTAAATGGAAAGATAAATAAAAAGAGCTCTGCAACTAGGGGCCTTGATTTCAAAGGGGCAAACTTTTAAAAACGAAGGGAATTAGTTAGGGAAGCACCAAGCAGACTGGACTGAAGAACTCAAGGATCTGAAAGTGAAGGTGGCTCGGAATTACTTTAAATCAAAGCAGGAGAAGCTCTCTGAAGCCTACATCCCAAGCAAGGAGGAAATATTCGTAGGGAAGGGTTGCAGACCAAGCTGGATGAGCAAGCATCTCAAACAGGTGATTGGAGAACGCCTACAAGGAATGGAAGACGGGAGGGATGAGCAAGGAAAGGTCAGAAAGTGTAGGAATACAGTGAGAACTGCCAAAAGCCAAGCGAAGTTGGACCTTGCAAAGGGAATTAAAGCCAATAGTGAAAGGTTCTATAGCCATAAAAATAAAAGGAAAGAAAAAGTGGGCCCACTAACCACTGAGGAGGGAGGAGTTATTTAACTTAAGCGCCCATGTGGACACAAGAACAAATGAATAGAAACTGGCCATCAAAAAGTTTAGGCTTGAAATTAAACAGTTTCTAACTATCAGAGGAGTGAAGTTCTAGACCAGCCTCCCAAGGGGAGTACTGGGAGCAAAACCCTAACTGACTTCAAGAAAATTTTATGGAGGAGATGGGATGGAGGGGCAGCCCACAATGGCATGTAGCTGATCTGTGACTGCTAGCAGCAAAGGTCTCCAATGGCCCCTGATGGGACGCAGCCCGCCCGCAGCTGTTACTTATACCTAGATGCACTCCCCTTCCCCACCCGCAGCCCTACGCATGCTGGCTTGGCAATATCACTGCTGTAGTATCAGCTTTTGAGAGAGCTTCACATGCAACACTTCTAGTATTACGGTAAGTTAAAACAAGCTACAGTACATTGAGACATTAATACTCTATTACAGTGTTTCTATTACCATATTAAAAGCAATAACACTTAACAGACCAGTAAATCCAGGACATTACTAGCACACTTTTCCCCCACCAATACCTAGTAGTTGCACTGTTATCTCCCATAGCTACTTATGTTGCAGCTTTTTTTGTTAAAACTAAATTGGGAAGAAAAACTACTGATTTAGAACTTGTTTGATGGTTACTTTATTGCTAAAGGGTGTAGTGGGGTGTAGGCTTGGAGGGAGGATGGTTTCTAATATGTAGGCAATATCAGGTGTTTTATCCAAAACCAGAATATGAATGGTGCTGGTCTTCTTGGTGGCTGGCTGACCTTGAATTATTGTCAAAAGTTAGACGGTGTACTCTTCTCCTTCCTCTCATTTTGGTTGAGGAGTCCATTGATAAAGGGATTGGCCTCAAATAACTGGTTGTAGGACTCTTCCATGGTGTAGTTTTCATCTTGGGTGGCCGGATCCTAATTATATTAAAGCATGTACTTTAGTCTTTGTAATTATCTGTTATAACTCTGTAGCTTTTTATGAAGGCAGGAGTAAAATAAAAATAGCTGCAATAGTTCCACGGTTAACTAAAACTGAAAAAGTAGATAATTTAAATCAAACTTCTAATCTTAATTTTTGCTTAATAAATAAGTCCATAAGAAAACTCTGTTGGGAAACTGCTACAGTTTACTTAGAAAGTGCACTTCTCCTATATAGGTCATAAGGATCCTATCTGTCTGAATACTGGCTGCTTTTTCTTTCTTTGATCTGCAGAGTGACTGATGCTTTTCAGACATCAGTTGTGGGTACAGGAGGGTTTCACTGCATCGTCTCTCTTGGCCCAGCTACAGTTCTCCCTTCTTATTGCATTAACAGTGGGTGGGTGTGTCTCGCCTTTTCTTTTTAATGATATATGCTAGGGACAGTCTTGTCCTCTTCTCCTCTCCTGATGTCAGTGTAGATGCAAGCAGTGCAAAATGTACTACAGTCATATAGTATCTCAAATGCAAAGCTGCATTTCTCTGATCTGAGGTTTGAAGAACAATGTGAAACTAGCTATTTTACGGGATGTCTAGATTTCATTCCTGTAGTAACAGAACTGGTGATAGGAAAGCAGGAAGAGGTTTGTTTTTTGTTGTTGGTTGGTGTGTGTGTGTGTATGAACAGCTTAAATTGGTTAGAAACCCTAACTTTCAGTACTCAGTGTTTCAAAAATGTTAGACTGCCAACCTGTGTCGTAGGGATGTCTTTTGTTTAAGAAAAAACCCCATGAATAAAGCTACTTTTAGGGAAATTAGTGCTTTGTCCAACGGCAAAGAGCTATGAGATCTTTGCTCACCAATTCTCATAAAACTTGTATTTGTCATGCATTTTTGGTGGCTTTAGTATTACGATCTATTATAAATAAAGTGCATTTCATGGATTGATTTTAAAATGAAATTAGTAACTGGAAAAAATGGCCAGTATTTTTTTTAAATCTGTGACAGTTATAAACTACTGTATTCTGTTATTTACTTTCTAGAATCTAAAGTATATCTCTAAGTATAATCTAAAGTTCTCCTGTGAAATGCCAGCTGTGCAAACCCTTCTGTGGCTGGATCATTCTTGTGTTTTTATTTTAAGTACATATAAATATGTATAACAAATTTAAAAGTATGTAATTAGTAATTTGATATGTTGGGTGGCGCCCTTTTTTTAATGTGTTCACTCCCCCTGATGTTAGAACCTGGCTACGCCCTGACCCCAGGGGTTTGTACAAGGATCAGTCATATTCAGCATATTCATAAATGATCTGGAAAAAGGAGTAAACAGTGAGGTGGCAAAATTTGCAGATGATACAAAACTACTCAAGATAATTAAATCCCAGGCAGACTGCAAAGAGCTACAAAAGGATCTCTCAAAGCTGGGTGACTGGGAAACAAAATGGCAGATGAAATTCAGTGTTGATCAATGCAAAGTAATGCACATTGGAAAACATAATCCCAACTATACATATAAAATGATGGGGTCTAAATTAGCTGTTACCACTCAAGAAAGAGATCTTGGAGTTATTGTGGATAGTTCTCTGAAAACATCCACTCAATGTGCAGCAGCAGTCAAAAATGCGAACAGAATGTTGGGAATCATTAAGAAAGGGATAGATAAGACAGAAAATATCATATTGCCTCTATATAAATCCATGGTACGCCTATATCTTGAATACTGCATGCAGATGTGGTCTCCCCATCTCAAAAAAGATATATTGGACCTGGAAAAGTTTCAGTAAAGGGCAACAAAAATTATTAGGGTATGGAACAGCTTCCATATGAGGAGAGATTAATAAGACTGGGACTTTTCAGCTTGGAAAAGAGACAACTAAGAGGAATATTATTGAGGTCTATAAAATCATGACTGGTATGGAGAAAGTAAATAAGGAAGTGTTATTTACTCCTTCTCATAACAAAAGAACTAGGGGTCAGGAAATGAAATTAATAGGCACCGGGTTCAAAACAAACAAAAGGAAGCATTTATTCATACAATGCCCAGTCAACCTGTGGAACTCCTTGCCAGAGGACATTGTGAAGGCCAAGACTATCAGAGGGTTCAAAAAACAACTGGAGACATTCATGGAGAAAAAGTCCATAAATGGCTATTAGCCAGGATGGGCAGGGATGGTATCCCTAGCCTCTGCCAGAACCTAGGAATGGGCGACAGGGGATGGATCACTTGATGATGATTACCTGTTCTGTTCATTTCCTCTGTGGCACCTGGCATTGGCCACTGTCAGACAACAGGCTCCTGGCTAGATGGACCTTTTGTGTGACCAAGTATGGCCATTCTTATGTTCTTAAGACAAATATGTGACACGTGGAGGTGTATGTCCTTTTGGAATCATAGACTATTAGGGTTGGAAGAGACATCAGGAGGCCATCTGGTCCAATCCCCTGTTCAAAGCAGGACTAACACCAACTAAATCCTCTCAGCCAGGGCTTTGTCAAGCCTGGCCTTAAAAACCTCTAAGGATGGGGATTCTACCATCTCCCTAGGTAACCCATTCCAGTGCTTCACCACTCTCCTAGTGAAAAGTTTCCTAATATCCAACCTAGACCTCCCCCACTGCAACTTGAGACCATTGCTTCTTGTTTTGTCATCTGCTCCCATTGAGAACAGCCGAGCTCCATCCTCTTTGGAACCCTCTTTCAGGTAGTTGAAGGCTGCTATCAAATCCCCCCTCACTCTTCCCATCTGCAGACTAAATAATCCCAGTTCCCTCAGCCTCTAATCATAAATTATGTGCTCCAGCACTCTAATCATTTTTATTGCCCTCCACTGCACTCTTTCCAATTTTTCCACATCCTTCTTCTAGTGTGGGGCCCAAAACTGGACACAATACTCCAGGTGTGGCCTCACCAGTGCTGAGTAGAGAGGAATAATAACTTCCCTCGATCTGTTGGCATGCTCCTACTAATACAATATTGCAAAGCAATAGCTGGATTACAATAGTGAGTTTGATTTGATTTCTCAGATGATCAAACATGGTGGAGTTTTATCAGGGAAATGTTTAGCAGCTTGTTCTAGATTGCACCAAGCAACTTTCTGTAGGACTTAAACTGCTCTGTGGGGTTTAATACCCTGCCCCAAGGGGGAACTCTTCATAGTGAAGTGCAAGAACATCCCCTTAGATGGTAAATTAGTGCTGGGAACTTCAGGGGCCTTCACTGTACTTCACTGTTACCTCTCCTGATGAGGAGGGCTCTCCCCTCACACAGGAGAGTGCAGAACATCCTGGAATCACAGCAAAGCTAAAATGGCTGCTGGAAGCCAGACATCTTGCTCAGTGATCCTGTGCCTTCCCTGCCCCTGGCACCAGGGTGCTGAGGGTGCTGTCCCCCTCCATGCCTGGAATCTCCAGCAGGAGCTGTTCATCTCTTGAGGCACAATCCCACCCAGAGCTCCACAGGGCGGTGCAGTTTAGCAACCCACTCACCTTTCCTGACACACAGCTAGGCCTATCCCACACACAAGGTCTGTAATGGGAATAGGTGCAATTTCTGTCTCAGCAAAGCTGTACCCCTTTGACTGGAGCTCACACACCCCCTTCAATAGGAAAGTGTTTGCTAGGCCCCAAACCAGAGGGCATGGGGATGATCTTAATGAGGACTATAGGGGTTATATTAGCTCTGTATTTGGCTCTGTTGCTGGAATACTGTGGGCAGTTCCGGTGTCCCCACCTGAAGAAGAAAGGGGGAGGGATAGCTCAGTGGTTTGAGCATTGGCCTGCTAAACCCAGGATTACAAGTTCAATCCTTGAGGGGGCCATTTAGGGATCTGGAGCCAAAAATCTGTCTGGGGATTGGTCCTGCTTTGAGCAGAGGGTTGGACTAGATGACCTCCTGAGGTCCCTTCTAACCCTGATATTCTATGTTTCTATGAAACTGAACAGGGTTCATAGAAGAGCACCAGAATGATTAAAGGATTAGATAACGTGTTATAGTGACAGACTCAAAGAACTCAATCTATTTAGCTTACCAAAGAAAAGGGGTGACTTGATTACACTCTATAAGTATGTAGATAGAGAATAAATATTTGATAATGGGCTCTTTAGTCTAGCAGAGAATGGTCTAGCAAAATCCAATGGCTAGAATTTGAAACTAGGCAAGTCAGACTAGAAATACGGTGTACATTTTTAAGATCAAGGGTGATTAGCCATTGTAACAATTTACCAGGGGTTGTAGTGGATCCTCCATCACTGGATATTTTTCAGATCAAGATTGTATGTTTTTTCTAAAGGATCTGCACTAATGCAAACATGAATTGTTTGGGGGAAGTTCTCTGGCCCATGTTATAGATGATGAGTGTTCTTCCTTCCGGCCTTAGACAGTGGCAGGCATCGCATTGTGTCACTTGCTCCCTCACCGATATTATTCAATAAATACAGCTTTTGTTATTTTAACTATTAGTTACCCTTGTTCTTGGCAATACTATTATAAAAGGTGCCACTGTTATCTTTAAATATATGTTTTTTTCTTTTTTAAGAGATTTGGAATAGACAATAAGTAAGTCTGTGTCTATTTTCTTCCATGTGCTCTACTCCTCTTTTTGAAAGAGGAGATTACTTGGCTAATTTTGTCAATAACATATATGAGCACTTGCTGGTTCTGAGCAGTGCTGCTTATATGTTGTTGACATTTTAAAAGACTCACCCACTACAGGTTTGTGTTCTCCAAGAACCATAATACTCATTCCGAGACACAGTACGAAAGGCAATGTACATATTGAAAGGACTCTGCATTGAAATAGCAAATGGAATGCAGCACATGATGTAAATTGTGTTACTGCTCCTTTCATAGCAGATCCCATATTAGAAGAGTAGTGTAGTGTGTCATATTCACCTTTTGCTAAATAGTTGTGGCCATGGAGCTGTTTCTTAAATTTATTAAAGCAATAATATAATCTTCTCTATCTACTACGTGGCAGGAGAGGAATGGGGTAGCCCACGGATTGAATAGCTAGCTCATTACGCATGGTCAATATTTATGCTAATCAACAAAGAAAGGATTTCATTCACCTTCTTCAATTCATAAGTCAATGGACATACAATGAACTGTTTTCTTCTCCTCCCCTTTTTTCTTTTGCAGAGGAACTCCAGAAGCATATGGGTGAGTTTGCCTACTTTATTCCATTCTTACAGTTGACTGACCAAACTTTGTGTGCCCTGTATGGTTTCCTACTATTTCAACTGCAGAAGGGATGCTATCATTACACGCCCCATGCATATGGAAAGTAGAGCATCTGTGTAGATTACTTTGATTAGATTACCTCACCAGCACTTTGCAAAGGAAGTCAGAGGGGTAGGAGTTCGAAGACAGTTAGGCATGTGAGAAAAAATATCCACATGCTACAGGAACTGAACATATCCATTGAATGAAAAAGCTCTGAATGGGGAGTTTGGTAGGACCGAGTTGCTAGTGCTGTGCCTGACCTTGTAGTAGCTGAGGTCATGCAGACACCCACCCTGTGCCTGGGACAGAATGGAGGGAGAATTGTCCTCCCCAAATACCTTCCCCAAACTGGGAACCCACATCCTGTGCAGACCACCCAGTGCAGGCTCTTTGACAATCCCCCTGCAAAGGAAGTGCTGATAGTTACACAGGATCGTTTGCTAGAGCAGGAAATAGAACCTCGATATTCTGTCTTCCTGTCCATGTATTCACTATCAGAGCAAGGCATTGGCAGAAACTGTCCATGGGAATGTGTCTATTTCATGACAAAAAAAAGTTTTGGATCAAGAAAAGAACAAGAAAGAAGCAAAAGCATCTCAGTAGAGTCAACAGTTTCTGTTTCCTCCATATTGAAAAGCAACATTTTGATTTTTCACTTCAAAATGAAGGAGACATTGTTAAGGTTCGATTCAGTTACCCAATCATGTGGGGGCAGTGTAGGCACAGGCACCAACTTTTTGATTTCCTCGGGGGTGCTTGACCACCTCTCTGCCCCAGGCCCTGTCCCTACTAAACCCCTTGCCTCAAGGCCCCACCCCTGCCCCACCTCTTCCCGCTCCCATTCTGCCTCTTCCTGCCCTGTTCCACCCCCTCTGCAAAGAGTGCCCCACCTTCGTTCTGCCTCTTCCTTCCCCAGCTCCTCCTCCGCATCACCTCCTGCCCTCTGCAGAAGATTTGATCAGTGTCAGGCATGAGGCGCTGGGGTGGAAGGGGAGGAGCTGATTGGCGGGGTCTGCTGGTGAGTGCTGAGCACCCACTCTTTTCTTCCATCGGTGCTCCAGCCCTAGAGCACTGATGAAGTCGGCCCCATGGAGCTGTTGAGAGGAAAGAATTGTTCATTAACCCAATTTTCAGAAAAAAAGAAAAATAGGTGATATTTGAGCCTGTATCTCATTTTGCAAACAATAGCAGGACAGCAGGAATGAGTTTGCTTTGATATCTAAGGTGATCACACAGAGGGGGATTTTATCAGGGAAATATTTAGCAGGTAGCTCTAGATTGCACCCAGGAAATCATGGTAAGTCTTCAACATCTCTGTGGGGTTTCATACAGTTCCCTGAGGGGGAACACTTGATATTGAAAGGCCAGAGCATCCCCTTGGATTGGAAACTTCTGCTGGAAACTTCAGGGGCCTTTAATTGCATCCCGCACCAATGAGAGGGGTTCTCCCCTCACACGGCAGAATGCAGAGCATGCCGGAACAATCACAAAGCCTAAGAGTCTGACAAATGCCAGGTCTCATGCCTTTCTGCCAAAAGAGTTTCCTTGATGCCCCTGTCAGCAGGGTGCTGTCCCCCTGCATGCCTGAGATCTCCAGGAAGAGCTGTTAACCCCTTTATATACAATCCCACCTACCGTTCGCCAGGGTGATATCATTCAAGCACCCACTCACCATTCCTGACTGGGCCAGTCAGACATACATTGTCTGTGATCTGAACAGGTGCAATTTCTTTCTCAGAATGGCTGTATCCTTTTCCTTGAAGCTCACAAAACCCCTTCAGTAGGAATGGGTTCATAGAAACATAGATTATCAGGGTTGGAAGGGACCTCAGGAGGTCATCTAGTCCAACCCCCTGCTCAAAGCAGGACCGATATCCAGACAGATTCTTGCCCAGATCCCTAAATGGCCCTCTCAAGGATTGAACTGACAACCTTCTGTTTAGCAGGCCAATATTCAAACCACTGAGCTATCCCTCCCCCACACTAGGTTGGGTAGGCAGTAGGCCAGAGGGCATGGGGATGATCTTAAGTAGGACTCTGAAGGTTATATAAGCTGTGTCTTTGACTCTGCCATTGGAATACTATGTCCAGTTCTGGTGTCCCCAATTGCTGAAGGAAGGTGATTAATAGGAGATGGTTCAGAGAAGAATCAGGGAAATGATTAAAAGATTAGAAAACATATTTTGTTTTGATAGAGTCCAGGAACTCAATCTATTTTGCTAAACAAAGAAAAGGGATGACTTGATCACACTCTATAATTAAATACATCAGGAACAAATATTTGACATCAAAGTAAATTTTTGGCGCTATATCCTCTTCTTTCCAATTGAACCAACCAATCCATCTTCCCTCGTTCTTCTCCAAACCTCATGGGAGAAAACAGGATTAAATAGTATATACTCTGGACATCAGAAACTCACTAGCGTTCTATCTTCAGAGAACCGAGTCCTGCAGATAGTCACCAAGACTTTTTATTTCAACTTTAGAAGGATCTAAAGGTTTCACCATTTTCAAGCAGTGACTGTGTAAATGGATTTCTGGATGCATTCACCTTTGGCACAACAGGAGGATATACAACTCCCACCAGGACTCAACCAGGTCATTATCAATGTAGCCTTTCTCTTATCAATCAAGGACACATGTAAAGTGGTCACCTGGGCATCCGCAAACACATTTACAAAAAATTAGGCGAGAGATCAAAGCTCAAAATTGGACGCATTGATAGACTTACTGTATTGTTGTCAATTACTCATGCAACTCCAAAGCGCCTTCCATCCACCGTGGGACACTGCTTGACAATCACCTGAAGTGGACCACCCACAGGGACACTCCTCTAAGAAGAGAAGATTACTCACTCTATATAGTAACTGAGGCCGTTCAAGATGGTGACTCAGTGGGTGCTCCACTACCTACCCTTCTCCCCTTTCCTTCTTAGTTCAATTTATGAACCAGGTGGTAGAGAAGGAACTGAGGAGGTGTTGATTGTGCGGCATTAGATAGACACTGACAAAGGCTTGAGACAGGGAGATTGGCACTCTGGTTAGTCAGAGGGAGAGACCTAGACATTCCCCATCTTTGTCTGTATCCAGACCTCCTGAACCTTCGAGGAGCAGGAGGAGAGACTAGAGGACGAACATTCACCTCCAACAAACTTCTCATCGTCTTCACTGGACCACGCAGTGATGCCAACCCCAACCCCCCAACATCTGCTTATGCCACAGGGACTTCTTATTGTCACATCCCACACCAAAATCTCTGGTGGTCAATGTGGTGAATGAAAGGATGAGACAACATTACTCCAAAATGACCCCCAGTGATAAAGACTGGAAGAGGATAGATCTCTCAACGGCAACTCTATAATTCAGAATTTCCTATTATGAGGCTTTGTCAATAGCAAAGTCCATGGTCATGAGATGGAGTTCATGTCTACACCTGTTGGGATTCCTGAAGGAAGTGTAGGACGCAGTAGAGGATCTGCCATTCAAAAGCTCCAAACTATTTGCCAGATGGTTTGATGAATTCCTCCATTCCCTAAAAGATTTAAAAGCAACACTGAGATCACTCAGCATTTATACACAACACGGAAGAAAAGATCGGGTAGATATCATCTTACCCCAAGCTCTTGACCTCTGGCTTTCCTTCTAGCTTAATGACACTATGACCTGCCATGGAGATAACAGAGACCTCCTTCTAAACGCAGAGAGCCCCTCCACTATCATCTACATCTCACCCACCTACCTCAAAACTGCAGTTAAGAGAACTTGGTCGAGTCCCCGAGACACCTCCACCTAGACCACGTGCTGCCACCATCAGAAACTATCCATCAGTTTGCTGACCATATGACCCCATTCTGCCCAACATGGTGGAAGATCACCTCAGACAAGTGGACATTGGAATTTATCAGCAACGGATACTCGATTCCATATCTATCCTTCCTGCCTATCCCTCCACCCATCCCTCTTCAGGGCCCTTTCTCACAAACACCTTTTAGGCCCTCTCCTGGCTCCCTGGTCTGGAGTCTTGGGGAGCTCCCAGCTGGCTCTAGGTAGCTGCCCCTGGGTTGGTTTTCTTCCTCTTGATTGCTGGTCTCTGCGGGGCTGGCACTCCCCAGTCACACACTAAACCCCACTTGCTGGCAAGTTAAACAAGTATGGGCTGGATGAATGGACTATAAGGTGGATAGAAAATTGGCTAGATCGTCGGGCTTAATGGGTAGTGATCAATGGCTCCATGTCTAGTTGGCAGCCGGTTTTAAGCGGAGTGCCCCAAGGGTCAGTCCTGGGGCCGGTTTTGTTCAATATCTTCATTAATGATCTGGAGGATGGCGTGGACTGCACTCTCAGCAAGTTTGCAGATGACACTAAACTGGGAGGAGTGGTAGATACGCTGGAGGGTAGGGATAGGATACAGAGGGACCTAGACAAATTAGAGGATTGGGCCAAAAGAAACCTGATGAGGTTCAACAAGGGCAAGTGCAGAGTCCTGCACTTAGGATGGAAGAATCCCATGCACTGTTACAGACTAGGGAGCGAATGACTAGGCAGCAGTCATTCGCTGAAAATTAAAGAAATGTTCAGTGATAATGACTGAAACTTTCATTGTGTAAGGGCCAGGCAGAAAGGTAGCTACCTGTTAAAGGTTAAAGATGTGCGATATTGTCCTGTCTGTTCAATCAGAGGGGGTAGGGAGGGGAGCAATGTGCATTATCCCCACTACCCCCACACCAGTCTTTCCAGCATTTGCAGTTGTTTGGATCCCAGTACCAGCTAAAGGGCTTTGTTACATCTTGGTGAAGGGCGACAGCACTGTAGTCAACTGAACCCTCCTCTTTTGTGGGGGAGAAAACCTTAGTGTGGAAGGGTTTAGTTTGGCTGAGGCTCACCGGACCATGTAAGAGACACTCAGCAGGAAGAGAAGATCACCAACATGGCTAATATTTATTCTATTGTAACCCTTCTGCCAGGTGGAGCCAGCAGCAGTCAGGGCTGGGTTCAATATCTAGAGGTTTCTTTTCAACAATACAACACAAACTGGCTTGCACTGTCACCCAGTAACCTGGGGAAATGATACCCCAGGGTGCCTCTGAGAGGCAATACTTCCCCATTCGCAAGCACAGAGTCTGAGTGTAGGAAAGAAACTTTTAATGAAAGGAGGGAAGTCACCCAACATTAATTCGGGAAAATGCCACAAGCTGGTTTGATAAAGATAAAACTATGAGTAGGACACGCACCGCAGAGTGTGTGGGGCAGAGTCTTCTGCCTCCTGTTCTTGAGTTCTACAACCAAAACTTCCTTTTCTGTGCCCCTCACTGCTCCTTAACCATACCCCACGCACAGTGATTGCCCTTGGTGGGAACCCAGGATTCAGAGGTGCATCTGTGTGAGTTCATTTCCCATCCGGAGAAGAAGGCATCTTGCTTGCTCCTCCATCTGAGCACTTGTTCTGGCTGGCTGCCCCACCAGTCGCTGTTCCTCCCTACTGCCCTCCCTGCCAGCTGCGGTTTCTCCCCTGCTGGCCGCCCTACCAGTCGTTATTCCTCCCCCACTTGTTCCACTCACCTGTCACCTTCTGCCTCCTGCCTCTCTGCTGTGACCTCTACAGGTCAGTCTCTTGAGAGTCCACCCAACTCTTAGTGATTGTCAGCTCTTAGTGACGTTTAGCTCTTAGCAGGCTGGGCAGTAATGCTGTCCCACCACAGGTGATTTCAGCTCTTATTGAGCACTTAAAATAACAAAATACTCTTAATGGAGCCTATTTAGCTCTGTCTTTGAACAGTGGGGAGGAACAGGTTAAGCCAGACTGGGGGCCCTTTGGTAGAGTCCACACCTCCTGTCAGGGACATCTGTTCATATCCCATCATTGTTCATACCCCATCAAAAGTCCATCATTGTTTAGGTCCAAAACTGTAACACTTAGAAATACCTTCCATGTTTGAGGCTACATGGTGGTGATAGTAACATGTTCTGTCTTTCCATAGGTGCCTTAATCTGTTTATTGCTGTGTATTGATGTGATCGTCATCCTTTTTCTAGTAAAATGCAAAAGTAAGTTAACTTAATTTTCTTTTGTTTAATTTGCATAAGGTGTACATTTTTAATATGAAGGGTGATTAACCATTGAAGCAATTTACCATGTCTTGTGGTGGTGTCTCCAACCCTGGCAATTTCTAAATCAAGATTGGATGTGTTTTTTTTTTAAAAAACCTCTGCTCTAGGTACTATTTTGGGGCAGTTCTCTGGCCTGTGTTCTAGAGGTCATCAGACTAGATGATCACAATGGTCCCTTTTGGTCTTGGAATGAATGAAAAAACTGTCATATTGCAAGTGAATGAGGTTAATTTTGCTTGAAAGAAACACTGGAGAAGCTGACTGACAGCAGCAGAGAGAACACAATGCTGGTCAAATTTACTGAGTACTGGATCCAAATATTTGTCCACATGAACCTCACGGAAGGTGGCTAATTTATGATGTTCAAGATGTTTAAAATACAATTAGTGAATTTTAATATCCCCTAGCAATGAGTTCCATGGGTTGACTGTGAGTTTTGTGAAAAGTACTTCCTTTTGTTTGTTTGTTTGTTTATTTTTTTAAAACCTATTAATTTAATCCAGTAACCCCAAATTCTTGTGTTATGCAAATGGGCAAATTATATTTCCCTTTTCTCTTCCTCCACAGCATTCATGATTTCATAGATCTCTGTCATATTCTCCCTTTATCATCGCTTTTCCAAGATGAACAGTCCTAGTCTTTTAAATCTCTTCTCATATGGGAGCTGTTCCATACCCTTAATCATTTTTTTGCCCTTCTCTGTACTTTTCCCAATTCTAACATATATATTTTTTTTAGGTGGGGTGTCCAGGACTGCACACGGTATTCAAGTTGTGGGCGCACCATGGATTTATATGGTGGCATGATATTATTTTCTGTCTTATTATCTATCTCTTTCCGAATGGTTCCTAACATTCTGTTAGCGTTTTTTACTGCTGATGCACATTGAGCAGATGGTTTCTGATAACTCTCTACACTTTTGAGACTTTTACCTGACTTACACCTGAATAAGATTTATGGATTTGGCCAAATATGAATTGAGGATGCTCAGTACTTCACAGAAGTAGGCAGTGACACACAAAGCTATCGACATAAGCTACCTATCTAATCTAGCTCTTTCTTTTTTTCTCCTCGTCTCTTCTTTCTCTGTGGTGTGGCTGGGACCTCTAGAATTGCTCTGGAACGAGTGATATCTGAGACCTTCCATTTTTGATAAAGCTATGAATAATGGGTGTTTCTTCATTTTACTAGGGCTCCCAGCTCCCTTAAAAGGGAGGGCTACCTCTACCTGATTGAAGCCTGGGTTCAGAATCAAACCTGCCTGTCACTGGCAGCAGGGGAATTTCCCATCCCCTGCAGTCCCTGACTCATTGCCAATTTTGTTGTGCCTCACAGGTGTCAGAGGCTCCTTCAGCCCTCCCTGCTGGAGAAACAGCTCTCGGAGGGAAATGCCAACATTGTATTTCATGTAGTCCCCTTCCTCCCCCCACCCCCTTGTGGCTTAAGCCTCGTCCCTGCTGCTTGCTAATCGGAGTGGCTTGTCTCCCCTCCTGGCATGAATTGGGTCTGGGGATCTTTATTTCAGTTTCTGGTGCCTCTACCCAAGGTGACTCCTGTCTGTGCTTGGGACACAGGGGTGCTGTCTCTTGGGAAAATGACTAATGCTACTTATCTATTTACAAGAAATATAACCCAGCACATGAAAAACACAATACACTAATATAAGTCCCAAGAAATGAAAGGCCACACACATAAATAACAGTATAATGCAGTATAACAACTTTACTGGGGACAGGGAACAAAGGCTCTAGGGAAGCAATACAATAGCAGCCATACTATATCAAACCAATAGTGCATCCAGCCCAGTATCCTGTCTTCTGACAGTGGCCCGTGCCTGATGCATCAGAGGGAATGAACAGAACTGGGCAATTTATCTAATGATCTATTCCCTCACATCCAGTCCCAGCTTCTGATAGTAAGAAGCTTAGGGTCACCCAGAGTACTGGCTTGCAACCCTGACCATCTTTATTAATAACAATTGAAGGAGCTATCCTCCATGAACTATATAGATAGATCCCCATTATATTTTTGGCCTTCACAACATCGTTTATCTACAAGTTGCCCCTACTATACACCTCCCCCCAAGGACGCATCCCTGCCCCGCCTCTTCCCGTTCTCACTCTGCATCTACGAAGAATACCCCGCCCTCGTTCCACACATTCCTTTCCCAGCTCCTCACCAGCAGCACCTCCTGCCATCTGCAGAAGAGCTGATCAGTGGTGGACAGGAGGTACTGTGGTGGAGGAGGAGGAGCTGATTGGAGGGGCCTGCTGCTGACTGCATTTCTATCTCAGCAAAGCTGGACCCCTTTCACTGGAGCTCATACAAGCTCTTCAGTAGGAAAATGTTCACTGGGGCCCAGGTCGGAGGGAATAATGATGATCTAAATGAGGAGGACTATAGAGGATATATTAGGTCTGTATTTGGTTCTCTTTCTGGAAAACTTTGTGCAGTTCTGGTCTCCCCAACTGAAGAAAAAATTGTCAAACTGGACAGGGTTCAGAGAAGAGCACAATAATGATTAAAGGATTAGATAAGGTGTTAAAGTGATAGAATCAAAGAGCTCAATCGATTTACCTTACCAAAGAGAAGAGGTGACTTGATTACAATCTACATTATGTAGATAGACAACAAATATGTGATAATGGGCTCTTTAATCTAGCAGAGAATGGCCTAGCAAAATAAAATGGCTGGGAATTGAGACTAGGAAAGTCAGACTAGAAATAAACTGTAAATTTTTAACTGTGAGGGTGATTAACCATTATAACAGATTCCTCGGCTAATTTTGTCAATAACATATATGAGCACTTGCTGGTTCAGAGGAGTGCTACTTACGCAGGGCCAATATTTATGCTAATCAAGAAAGAAGGGATCTCATTCACATCTTCAGTTCATAAGACAATGGACATATTCTGAACTGTTCTCTTCTCCTCCCCATTTTTATTTTGCAGAGCAATGCCAGCAGCAAATGGGTGAGTTTACGCAATTCTTACTGACCACTAACCAAACTTTGTGTGCCCTCTATTAGTTCTAACAATTTCAACTTCAGAAGGGATGCTATCATTGCATGCCCAATGTATCTGAGAAGTGGAGGGTCTGTTTAGATTACTCTGGAATCGAGGTATATCATCGAGCTGAGACCTCACCAACGCTTTGCAAAGAAAGTCAGAGGGATAGGGGTTCAAGGGCAATGGGGCAAGTGAGAAAATACATCCATGCCCATAGGTACTGAACATATCCATTGAATGAAAAGCTCTGGATGGGGAGTGTGGCAGGATGGAGTTGCTAGTGCTGTGCCTGACTTTGTAGTAGCTGAGGCCATGCAGACACTCCA